GTGATACCCTCTTGATCATTTGTCCCTTGTTCTCACTGTGTTCGATCTGGTTCATTCCTGTTTTCATCGAATGGGTTAATAATGATGTGACTAATACAGTTAAAACAACTAAAATATGGGAATATCTGGGACTAATATGCTTAGAAGATGTCTCCTGAAGAAAGGTGATTATTTTCGGGATAACTAGACACTTGAAGCAGAAAAGTGACTGAGGGCCGGATGCCAGATATTCCGCTATTAAACTGAAGGCATCATAAAAACATTGAGTTTCTTTGATACACAAAGGATACGCAGGATGACATATTTTAATTCTGTTATAAATATGCCGTACTTAATTATGAAGATTGGGGACAAGTAACGGAATTAATGTAATTTTCACCGATCCGGTTTTATTTTTGTCACAGAACTCTTAGCCGATTTTTCATACTAGTTAATAGCATTTACTACTGACTAACATACTATGTCGCAGTTCCTGGAATTTACCCATTTTTTTCGAATTCCCGAGGAGTGTGTGACATAGCAGGAAAGTGACTGTAGTATTGCTAAGCTCCAATTGTAGATTGTTTCACATTTGTTAGAATTTCATCGACCCAAAAGGCCATGGGAATAGTACAACAAATTACTTGGCCCCTGGTTGCCTTACCATGAAAATAATCATCATAATCTTTAACTTCCTTGTCTTTTATTGCATAGGCAATGAGTTCATTTCCACCGGCAGATAGCGGTCCTATTTAGCGGGGTGCGGGGTGCGGTGTGGGGAGGGCGTGAACGGAAACGTTTCGATCAGAACGAAATTGTGGACACGCACACAAGGGCTCTGTGCCTGTTCCGGTCAATAAATGCTTTAGGCTCCCGGTGTGTTGGATTTGAAGAGTGATTTACAACCCATACATACATTTTAGAAAGATTAAAACTAAGTGATAAAATCAACTATAGAAAGGTTAGCAAAAATGGGTACGTGATTGACCAAGACACGCACCAAACGGGAAATATTACTAGCAAAATGTGTGGTTGCGTAATAGGGGGGAGGGGGGGATTCTGAATTGGAAAAGGGTATGGGAACCGCAGATAGGTTTTAAAAAATGTCTTTTTACTTCCTTTTTCTATTTATTGAATATAGAAATGTATAGTCAACTTTCAGGAAGAGGGCTGCGGCCATACAAAGGCTGCCTGGGGAAAATACAGATATAGGGAAGATAGGTGGCGGTGGAGCGGTTTGAACCCGGGACACCCAGGTCACTAGTTGGTGAGAGAACTTAATTGCATAAACACTGACCGGTTTTAGATGGGAAGACTTTTCGTAACTTGGTCAGATGCATCAAAAAGCTTGTGAATGACAAAGTCAAC